CGGGTGCACCGGCGACGAGTCGAGCAAAGAGAACGATTCCCAGCAATGAAGAGACTTGAAACATAGTAGCGAAGAAGTGACTCAATTTCTGGATGAACTTGAGAGATGAGAATATTCATTTTTTGATGAGTCCTTTTATATCTTTGTCCATAAAATTTACCAAAGTCTTGCTAACACGTCGCCAAGACAAGTCGGGTGATAGTTGCGCCAGCTTAGCGCGATTAGAAGGGCGTGGCGACGAAAGGGGTCTCCTTACCTCACATGCAGGCAACTTGAGAACACGCGTCTAGTGGAGAGAGACTAAACTTCCTACCTAATTGAGGGCACAGAAGCATGCGGTAAGAGCCTTTAAGCGGGTAGATTGTAATCTGGACTTACGCAAAATAGTGTCGATGCCTGGTCTTATGACGTGCCTCTGGAGGTTTTCATCGACAGAAGGGAAAAGCGGCCAAATAGCATAGAGGGTGTATGGCCTTGAAGGGAAATGTATCTTTAGCATGCCTGACGGGTAATCGCAGGAAGACGGAGAGTGTACAGGGCGGCATAAAGATGTCCACCGTCCACACACAAAAATAGCAGAAGCAGCGGCTTTTTCTAGTACAAATCAGAGACGATCAAGATATAATTATAAAACCCACGGCCGTTGGTCCTGAACGTAGCGACAGTCCTTGATGCTGAGAATTATAGCAGCGCCTAACAGAGGACACGTATTACAACGTGATTCTGGCGTCATACAATTGGCTAGTAAGATCAGTGGCTTTGATCTGGCGAGAAACAATAAACATTTATCTCGGCAGTGAGGCAGCAAACTACTTACCTGGTCTTGCCAATGTGGCGGTAAGCCGTTTGCAGAATGGGCTTGACTTTACGTGCAGAAATCAAAGGTGTGAATTCCTGACGGCATGTACGCCTGGTTACCCGAATTGGTAAGGGCCTGCCCATCACGCGATAACGGGTACGTGGAGGAGGAGGATGGTTAATTTTTATTCTGATCGATGCCCTTGAGAACGACAGAACCAAGGATAAGGAGAGCCTATCAAGTACGGTTCGGGTCAACCTGCGGAATTCCAGAATGTCGGCGAAACGGTTAACATGCACATTGTGTTATCGCTCTATAATAGATATCTATTTTCATTTTCAAGGCCCACGGCAGGGAGAGTAAAATTAGAACAAAGGGCCACGAGTGCATGAAGGGGTCCTAAAATATCTTCAGTTGCTGCGATGCCCAATGGGAAACAAAAAAGTACCTGAAATGAGGCGAATTGACGCTGTTATTAACATGGAGAAATGGTAACGGCGTGTCCCTTCTCCAGGATTCTTATGACCTGCTCCACATCTACAAAATAGCTAAATCCTTTGTCGTGCCACTTGCCAGCCCGAGCGACTGGATACTTTGCCGCACGAAGGAAATTTTTATACGGCAGACCTTGTAAATGAAGATGCAGATGACTAACAGAATTGTAGGGGGGTATATGAAACCCCATCCTGAAGGTCCGGTGTTAAGATGAGCTAGCCTCGTAGGGAATACCGGGACAAAAAACGCCCTTACTTTCTCATGTCCTTCGGGACATCGAGTTTACCTAGAATGTCCATGCCTATATCAACCATATCTCGAACTAAATGGACGGAGATGGAGTCAACAATGATGGTGAAAGTGAGCTCGGTCGAACCAATACAGACCAAGCTGCACATCATCTTTCGTCAAGGACTTTACACTTCCTTCAAAATATCGGGAACGCTGATCGGATGGAATTGGAGATACAGACTTACGAATGTGTGCCTTCGGAATTAATTGAACGTGGTGTCTGCATGCGGGGTCTCGGTCGTAAAAGGCGATGAATTTATCATCCTAGCAAAGGCCGATGCATAGATAAGAAACCGCCCTCGAAAATTGGAAGAAATGTCCCACCTACCTCCCAAAGAATATTGAACCCGTTCTCTTTCGAGACATTACAGAATACACAGGATTTCACGTAGGACTTGTCAGCCAGTTGTAGAGAATCTGAATCGGAAGTTAGGATATGATGTGATGGTCCTCTACGCAGGGGAAAGCAGAAGAGCGAGGACATTTCGAACATTATTAGAGTCTCCACTTTACTTCCAGGTCGTATAAGTAGAGATATTAGACAGACTTTATGTCGGCCAGTGCGCTTTGCACTGTTTGAAGGAAGGATGACCAAATTGAAATTACCCTTGAAGCGTCGAGAGACACGTGCACCAGGGCAATTAACACGCGCAAACAAGATCCTCCTGAATTTCAACTACCACCATTCCGGCCGGACGAGCTCTGGAATGCCTTTTCCCTGACAGCGTTATTACTTTCTGTCAATCACCTTCTTGGATATACCTGGCTGCTACATACCCGGTCGTCGTCGCGTCTTTGACGGTATATTTTTACTCAATTTACTTCCGTCGTGGGGGCACGTGAGACTCCTGGAATGGCCTCGGACCTGGAAACAGCCCTGGAGGAAATAGAGGAATGCTCTCATATCGCGGCAGCTCTCGCTGACGAGTCTATCATCTCGAGATATAAGAAATTTGTTTCCTGGAACGTTCATCAATATCAAGTTGTCCGAAGCAATGCGAAGCGCAGGAAGGTCGGTTCGAACTTGCAAGGCCAATTTACGTGATTGACACTCGCGTCGCAGATCTCAGCACCTTCCTGCGGCATCTGCGAAACGTTGCTTTCCCGCCCATTTGTCTGTTTGCATTGTTCATTCGCGGGCTGTTGGACACATATTCTAGATCATCTCACGGATGCAGAGCATTTATTTTGTGGGTTAATCGTCTCTGTAGACGCCCCGTAGCTCATCTATAAAACAGGCGTTGATCCGAACTCAGGATCTGTGTTCTGCTCGGACTCTGATTGCATGGACATGGTGTATAATGCCAAGCTAGAAGCAATATACTTGGCGACAGTTATTTCTGCCGAGGAGAAGGAAACCAGATATCAGGGTTTGTGGCTTATTCTCGCTAAGATCTGTACAACTGACTACGGTGATGCAGTGTCCAAGCGATCGCGGGAGCCTTTCGTTGCTTGGGCTCCGTCTGACAGCGAACTGAAGGAATTAGAAGGTTCGTTACCTATATCTTGCCAAGGTAACTCTTCTGGTTTACGATCTTGCGAGAATCTGCTAACGTGTTTCCAGCTCGTCGCGGCCTATTGAATCTGGGACAGACGTGTTTCCTTAATGTCGTCTTACAATGCTTGGTGCACAACCCTCTTATCAGGAACTATTTCCTGGGGGACAAGCATAACGTCAAAGGGTGCAAGACTGAAGACTGCAGTTGTTGCGAGATGGACAAGCTATTTACCGAGGTGGGGGCATATTTTTTTTCGCCAATACCTGTTGACGTCAGCTGTTCTTAGATCTACTCGGTCGACACCGCCCCATATGGACCAAGCTCATTTCTAGCAACGACTTGGATGAAGTCTCCGGACCTTGCGGGCTATGCACAACACGATGCACATGAGTTTTTCATATCCGTGCTGAATCATATCCATAGTAACTCTCGCGGATCAACCAATGTTTCTTGTAATTGCATCATCCACTCCACCTTTGCTGGCCAGCTTCAGAGCGACGTCAAGTGCGAGCGATGTAATAATGTTACGAGCACAAACGATCCAATGCTCGACATTAGTCTAGAACTTAAAGACGAGACCACGCTGCATGGCTGTTTAAAGAGGTCAGTTACTGGTCTGCTTTATGGCCTATATTCGTAACACCTTGACAGATTCACACAATCCGAGAAACTTGGGTCGAAGGAATATAACTGCGGAAAATGCAACAAGTCTTCTCGCGTTCGTCATAGGCAGCGTCAATGCCCGTATCAGTCACTAATTTTGTACTGTGGGATCAGGAGGTCAGCAAGCGCATGAGTATTTCCAAGCTCCCCCCGGTGCTAAGCTTCCAGTTCAAGGTCGGCGTTTATTCCTCTCGGGACCGGGATCTGACCTTTCCTTATACAGCGCTTTGAACACAAAACCTCGGACAAACCCACGGCTCGGAAGCTCGATACACCCGTCCGGTTTCCCGCTACTATCAACATGGCGCCGTTCACTTCGATTGCTTTGAAAGAGAATGAAAAGGAGAACAATTTTGCGTCGGTGCCATGGTCCTTCCCCCGTAATACGACTGATGATTACGCCTTAGGTCTTTCGGCCCGGAAGTCATGTACGAATACGACCTGTTCGCTGTTATCAATCATGAGGGTCAGATCAGTAACGGTCATTACACGAACTTTGCGCGGTTTGGGAGCGAGGTAAGGCTTCATTATCCGTGTGCGACGGAGTCTTGATAGATATTTATACAGTGGTATCGTTTCGACGATGACAAGTGGGTTTTGGTTGCTACTTTCGACCTTTTCGCTCACGTTTACCAATCAGAGTCACGCATTCCTCGTTGAATGCATGCCTGGACTCTCGGGCCTATATGTGTTTCTATGTTAAGCGACACCTCGACTATCAACCCCATACTAGACCCACGTACGTTCTCACAAGGGAGACGGAGGCCGTCAGAGAGAAGGAACTGGAACGAGAGAAAGAAGCCGCCAGGTTAAAGGAAGCTGACCGGGAGCTTGATGATGCCCTATTGGCTGTAATATAGCGCCGGAACATGATTAAGACCAGGGATGTTAATTACGCATGGGGGATTTACGACCGAGGGAGGATGCGGACAGTGCCGAAGACACCGACGGAACACTAAGGCGCTCCAGTTCGGCTGCGATGAAGCCCCGCTCTCAGCAGTTCCAAAACAATGGTCTGCTTATCTTAATGGAAGCCCGCCCAAATAAAATTTTGTGTACTGCTTCCGGTTTCTTTGGTTAATCACAACAACCATGCACAAGACACGGTGAAGTTGAGGCTCTTTCCTTTGTTCCGAGCCATTTTTCGACGATTGAGTTTCCATAAAGTAAAGTAAATGCAAATAATTGGTTCCAAGAACAAGAGCAGCAACCGTTTGGCGATTCTGATGTGTCAATCTTCGCATAAGTGAGACGCTTCCGTGGCTCAGTTGGTTAGAGCGCCAGTCTCATACTTTGTATATGATCCCCGATTTGGGAGTTATCTGGAGGTCACCAGTTCGACCCTGGTCGGGAGCACTGAGCCTGTAGACCTCACTCTTTTTGACCTTTACTGATGCATCCTAAATTCTGATTTCTGATTTCTGGCCCACGGGCCACCTGATGATTTTAAATTGACTCTTCCTTACTCGGAGTCGCGGCTCAAGACTTAAGTGTCAAGCTTTCAAGACCCCAGGCCCGAGGGTCCACTGGCCCAGCCACTTAGATTGCATCGCCCTGGGGTCGAGCTCCGGCGCTCGATTATGCTAGCGTTCCCAACTTTAAGTCTTACAGGGAACATGATAGTCTAGGTTTTTTTATCAATCTAACTTTCGTGCAACAGCTTTGGCACTGATCCCGACATTGTGCACCTATAGCACTAAGGTGAACAACCAGTATCTCGACGTTCCGTTTACGCTTGACTCCTTAAACGCTATTTCAACTTCAAGTTTTGAGTGGTGGATCTTTTGTATTGACCATAGTACATGCACAAAACCCTAGCACGTAAAGTAGTCAAAACTATTACCTGAAATAATGGGAACACAAAAGAGAAAATAAACCTACGTACAGAAAAGTAGAGAATCACGAAACGAAGCGTATGATATGTATCTATGGAATAATATGATCCAAATCACCATCTTGAACACGAATCTCTACAACCTCCACCTCATAATCATTCAACGCGGAATTGGTGGACGACACGGATGTGGATATGAAACCCGCCGAATTTGGTGGCGACGTCGAAGCGACATCTACAGGGAATGGTCGATTAATAATCAGCTCTCCTCCAGATGTAGGAGGCGACAATAGAGAGATAAATGGACGAACATCGGTCTTTGATATAAGGTGGCACAAATAAGTCCTACAATCGGAACAATGAGCAATCAGATGAAGAGAAACTAAGGGAAAAATATTCTCACTTGGTTCCAGACGAAGCCCTGACTTCTCTGTATGGTCAGGATGGGACGGAGAGTATAGACATGTTGGCGCTCCCTCTTGCGGTGTCGGCGCTTTGCGGGCTCAGGCTCAGGCTCAATAGCTTTTTGCTTTCCTTTAACGTCTTTTTGAGACGCGGCAACCTTCTTAGCAGCAGCTGCCTCCGTATTCTCTTCATCCATATCCATATCCATATCCAAGGAATCATCGGCCCGATTCTCACTCATTGGCGCACCACAATGGTCGTGGTCATCCTCCGAGTCACTCAGGTGCTCATGGGCATGAGAATAGTCTTCTTCATCCTCGGAGCAGGATTCTGACCCGCTGTCGCTGTATTCGTCCTCATCGTCATATGGGATCTGCTCGTAGCAAGCCCAGGTAGGAGGCGACGCTGCCCGACCGATAGTGCGGCGACGGAAGTAATCTCGGTATGGCGCGGTGGTGGTGCTCATCGTTGCTGAATGGTAGCGTGAAGTAGTAGACGCGGCTGAAGAAAGAAGGCTGGTGGTGGTCTCTGCGCAAGTGGGTCGTGGCCCGCGGTCTCGAGGCCTTGAGGCGCCGGGATCTTCCGATGTGAATCATCTTTCTGTCACATCGGGTCACGGAATCACGCATGCCTTTTCGGGCTCCTCTCCGCCACCTACCATATCCCCGCTTCCATCGATATTTTCACAAGATGGCCGGGACCAAGTATCAGTATGTCAAGAATTTTGAATTACCTGACCCTCTTCTTCCAGGAACCTTCATGGTGTATCGTTTAGATGGCCATAGTTTCCATCGGTACGACAATCCATTTCTTCAGATCAATTCTGATCAAAACGGTTATAGATTCTCCGATGAACATGCATTCTCGAAGCCTAACGATTTGCGAGCTTTACGTCTCATGGATCACGCCGCACAAAAATTAATGGAGGAATACCCCGATATCGTCCTTGGTTTCGGTGAATCAGACGAATACAGGCAAGGTTTACTCTAAACTTACGGACCATTACTGACCCCGACACAGTTTCCTCCTTCGTAAATCGACGTCACTGTATAATCGTAGACAATCCAAAATCGTCTCTACTTTGACTTCGTATTTTACGTCTTGCTATGTATTGTATTGGCCCAGCTTCCTTCCGGATACACCGCTGCGCTACCCTCCTTCCTTTGACGGGAGGATCGTGCTGTATCCGGGCGAAAAGGAAATACGCGATTATTTTGCCTGGAGGCAGGCTGACAGTGGGTATGCATTGTCATCATCGTGAACGCATACTCATTTGTCGAAGCATAGCGCACATCAACAACCTGTATAATACTACATTTTGGGCCCTTGTTCAGCAAGGTGGAGAAACCACAACCCAGGCACACGCTACCTTGAAGGTTCGTTCATTTTACCTGCCGTGACGGGTTACGTCTGACAGTTTTTACCCAGGGTACGATATCGAAAGAAAAGAACGAGATCCTGTTCTCCAGGTTTCAGATCAACTACAACGATATTGACCCGAGATACCGAAAGGGAAGTGTCTTAGTGAGAACAGAGGTCTGTATGTTTCCGCATTTATGACATTCGCGTACTTACTGAATGTAATGAGGTTCCAGAAGAAGAGCCACCGGACGAGACGGAGCAGCAGAAAAAAAAGAAAGCGAAGAAGAAAGCGAAACCACGCACAAAAGTAGACCTTATTCACTGTGACATTATCAAGGACGAATTTTGGAATAAAAGACGGATTTTAGAGGAGTAGATGACGCAGTAGAAGCTCGGTTTAAATTTGGTGTGTTCGTGCTTGGTATTTTACACTCCTCTAGAACTAAACCCTTTCAAGCAAATAAAACACGCGATCAATTTGTTGGTGCTAACTCGCAACTTGACGGTCGTCTTAAGTGTTTCGAGAAGGGCCGGCTCGACTCCTTCATGATTAACTTATATAATGTTTCAGGTAAAGTTAAAACACATAACGAATAGTAACTCCGCATGATATAGCTTGGCAAAAGAAAGTTCAAGTCGAACAACACCAAAGTTCTGTGGAATATCTATTTCCAGAAAAACCTGGCCGGACTGCTTTAATCGGCGCGATTATATTTCGTAGAGGAACGAATTGCAAGTGGCTTTGATGAGGGAAATGCACGGAGCCTATGGCTGGTCGGGAGAATCCCGTCTGTCTTGCTTAGGTGGAAGGAAATCTGTCCCTCCTTTCGGGCGATGACAACGTTGAATCTACGCGATACGTCCATTTCTAAGTTGTTGAAGATACACATAACAAACAAAAGCTTATGCACACTGCTGAGAGAATGGTGTTAGAGACGCACGACCCGGAGAGTGGTCCATACATTTGGGAATTAATGCCGAGAAATATTGATGTCTTGGCCTAAGTTCTAAGAATGTATTGTAATCACTATCGAGTAAACCATTCAACAATTCAACGGCAACCGCCTACGTCTGCATCAATGATTTTGTTCCATTGAACATCAACAAACCGGTATAGTCTGACGGAAGTGGTGTCCGTCTCAGTAGCTGATCTTTAACGATGGAGATGGTGCTAGTAGAAGAGGTCGTTACATAGGTATCCATGGCCGCACCGCATACAGGCTGTCAAAAGGTGATTGACGTTCATAACGGCGTATACATACATCTGCATGCCTATGATATTTATCGCCCAGATAAATATCGGCGCGCGATTTAGAAACGTACGGAGACTTGAATTAAGCAAGAGATACGGCATTTTTCATCGACCAACCATCACAAGAATTGGCGTATTATATAGAGGAGCACCTTGAAACTCATACAGAATGTTGCGCATTTCCTACAGTGCGCATAGTTACAGAGATGTACTACATGATCTCATCGAGCACAACGAAAAGATGTGACCAAGTTCTTGTATAGCGGGTGTGTACCCACAACCACCGCATGCGTCGACCACGTCCTGAGAACTTTCAAGGTAATAGATGATGTTTGGAGGCATAGCGATATTGCCATAATTTCTGACAGGCTAAGCGGAGTGATAAAGACCAATTGTACTTGAAATATTGACTTCACTTGTCGGGAAGAGCTCAAAGGTAGGCGACCCGGGCCGGAGGCGGGGATCATTGCACAGCCACTTCTAGTAATGACAAATATCCGACAACTGTGAGCGTGACACATGGTCACAGCTTCTCCCGTTCGTCATTCAAATTCCAGCTTTCATTTCCAGTCTATTTTCTGCTTTCTGTCGTGTTTCTGATGCTCTTCCACTTTATTTAATAATTTCAGGTAACCCTTGCTTGTGCTCTCCATATACTTTCATTAATGCTCATATTTCTCAGGCTTCATTCCCATTCTAGACAACCTTACAACCAGTTCCTGGAGAAACATTTAGCCATGGCGTTGCAACATGACCGGCCTCAGTTGATGAACTCGACGCCAACGCACCCCAAGGTCAAGATATCAATGGATTTCTCCGATCCGTTGTTCGTCGGCGGCACCCACGTCTGCGGTCAGCTTGCGATGGAGTGCAGGGCCGATAAAGGGCTTGGGATCAGTGGAATGATGGTAGAGCTGTTCGGGACTGAAGGTGCGAATCTCCATCAGGCCCGTGATCGTTCACTGGACAGAATTTGTTGTAGAGTTGCTATCGCGGGACCATACAGCCAAGGCACCTTTCCTCTACAGTCGACGATTATTCCAAGGCCCAGGCCTCCCACCGTCTAACGCCGTACAAGCGCATCCTACTCCTGGAGACCTTCCATTGCCGGCTCATTACTATCAAGCAAAGCGGGGGAAATCTACGTTCAACTTTCGCATACCGATTCCAAGCACTAGTCCATCGAGCATAAATTTTGCCTCAGGTTCGGCCCGGGTCAGATATGAGGTCAGGACGAGCGTGCAGGTATTTTGGAAGGGCGAGAAAAGGGTGGTCACCGACACTCGGGAGGTCAATATCGTTGAAAGCTTTGAGGAAGACTTCTCCAGAGCCGAGCCCGAGGCTGTCGCTGTGGGTGAAAATGGTAAAATTTGGGTTCAGGCAAAGATTGTTGGTGGAATGATTGTAGCTGGCGAACCTGCATGTGTAGAATTACAGGTTAAGAATCATTCGACCCGCAGGGTATGTTTCCAGAATCATCTTAGGAAGCCTACTGATATCTAC